ATTAACTAAATAATAATAATAATAATAATAAAATTAATTTTAAAAAAAATCACTCGAGGAACATGATCATTAATTAATAATTTCTTACGCGTAAAATATTTATATGACATAATTTTTGGAAAAACGATAATAAATAATATTTAATTAATTATTAATTTAAACTTTATGTTTTTCCCGCCAAAAAATAATTACGTAAACTTTTAATAATTTCAATTGATTTTCTACGTTATTTATTTTATTTTTTTTATTTTTTTTTTTTTGATTTTCGATTTCCTTTACGCGCGTTAAATATAACAAAATTATTATTATTATTATATTAATAAACAATTAAATAACGTTTTCTTTGAACCCTGACATTTATAAAAAAAAATCTTTAGTAACCTTGTTTAAAAGAAAAAAAAAAGAAAAATTTGTTTGACGTAAAACGAAAGAAAATACTATAAAAACTTTGTGTTTGAAAACGCGTTTAAAAAACCGTTTATCAATTTTCCTTTAAATAATTCGATTTAAATTCTGAAGGAAATGGGCACCCTATGTAAAACTGGGAGAAACCCTCTCCCCCACCCACCCCCCCATCACCCCCTAATGGTTTACGTGCCGAACCGAAGGAAAAATTGGCCTTCCTGGTACATTGTACCCGATAATTCGTGTGGGTGTGGATAAACCCTTCGGCACGGTTAATAATATTTTTTTTTTTTGTTTATTTATTTATTTATTTATATTTATATTTATATATTTAAATGTCATTTTTACGATAAAATTTTTTTTTTTTTTTTTTTTACGGGATATATAAAATTTGTTTAAAAATAATAATATTTTCCATAACAAATGCGTGTTATGTATATATATATATATATATTATATATTCATAAATTTTTATATAATGTTTAAGGGGCGTAGCCGGAACTACTTTTTTTTTTATATATATATTTAAAATAGGCCAAGGCAACTTTTGGAATTGTGTGTATCTGTTTTTTTGATCTAACTGGAACATTATTTAAAATTTAACAAAGACAGATTGAATTTTTTTTTTAAACGCTTGCCAATTTTCCTTTTGATTTATTTATTTATAAAAATAATAATAATAATAATAATAATAATAATAAATAATAACAAAGAAAAAATAAATTTATATATTCGAATTTGATCACGAAATTTTTTTTATTATTATTATTCAATCGGTTTCATTTTATTATTATAATAAAAATGTACCCATTTAATAAATATTTTTAAGCCTAACGGGAAAACAACCGAAATTTAAAAACAAACGATATGTTTCAATAAGGTTCAGAATAGATACGTGATTGAAAATGTATTAGAAAAATATTAACAACAACAACAACCAAGGACGAAAAAGACGTGAAAACGGTTGTTTTGGAACATCATCATCTACATGCCATTCTCATCGTCTACTACTAATCTGGGTCAAAGTCAACGAGTAAAAGTCAACACTGAATTGATTTGCTCCTTCTCCATCATCATCATCATCATCATCATCATCACCATCATAATTCGCATAAAAAAAAAAAAGAAAAGTTTTTAATTGTGTCTTATATACCTGATGCAATTAGCATTACATCAGAGAACCTGATTTTGCATAACTTTGAAATCAAATGATTGATATATCATTCATACACTCCTAAATATCACCGAAATCAATAAATAATCCAAAACAATAAAATTATTTCATAAATATTAATAATTTAATAAATAAATTCGAAATACGAGAATTGCAAATTTTCATTTGGATTCGACACGACATTACAAAATTTTATAATTTTATTAATACTTTTTTTTTTTATGAAAATGAAAGATTATGGTGACATCAAGCTAAAGATTAACGATAAAACCCCCCCCCCGCCGCGGTGTATGGTAAAAAATAATAATAATAATAAATAACAAAAGCACGCGACATAGAGCAACAAACGCCATTATTAATTTGTATTCTATCCCACAGGGTACCCGGATTCATCGTCTTCTTAACCATCATTTAAACCGCTTTAATAATCCCTGTTCTTTCAGTTCATGGGTCAACAAGTTTATTGTAAACACATCTTTTAATTTTTGTGGGATCTAGTCGTATTATTATTATTATTATCGATCAGATTGTGAATAGTTAAAATTAATTTTTTTTTTTTTAAATTGATATGAAGAATTATTTAAGATTTTTTCTGGTAAGATTTACACAAAATTTTATATATAAAAAAAAACCGAAACGACCTCACATTTTATTATTATTATTATTATTTTTTTTCACGTTTACCAAATTAACTTTTAATAACTTTAATAATAATAATAATTAAGTTAAACTTTATAAAAAAAATTTATAATAATTAGTGACGTCAATGATTACCCACAAATAAATAATAAATATTCGATTAAACGTTTTTTTCGAATAAAAAAAAAAAAAAAAAAAATTTATGTAAATAAAATTATGTAACTTATTAATTAATAAAAAAAATTTTTTTTGGTTTAACTATGGGTAAAACATTAACGCGTTAATTTAATTAATAAATTTTTTTAATTAAACGTTTTTTTATAATGAAAAATTATTTCTTACCTTTATTTAAAATTTTATTGTCAACGTCTTACGAAACTTTAATAAAAAAATTTCAAACCTCATCATCATCATCATCATCATCGATAAATTTTTTTAGTTTTTCCAAATGACTCATGAAAACCTGCAAAAGAAAAAAAAAAAAAAACATTAATTAAATTTTTAACATCTTACAAGGTTATGTACTCATACTACACACATTTAACTCCATGAGGAAAACAATACAAAATAAATAAATAAATAAATAAGTTTTTAAATCTAAATAATAATAATAATAATAATAATAATTTTTAAAAGATTTACAAAATAAAGTTGGTGTTGGATTAAATAAGAAAATTATGTATCGATTAAATTTAATCAATATTTATGATATATATACAAAATATACTTATTATTTTTTTTGTTTAATAAATTTTATGATTTTAACAACCATTAACACATTTTTTTTTTTTATATATAATAACAAATTATTAGAAAATTCAACTTTAATGACGAAATTTCGTTTATAAAAAATAAATAAATAAATAAATTGAAGGCCGTCAAGGATGGCAAACAAAAAAAAAAAAAAACCATGTGTGCTGTGTCACACCTAATTTTTTTTTTTTTTTTTTCGATTCTCTTGTATAATAATAAAGATTTAAATTTTGTTCAGAACGATTATTAATACATAAACTTATTGATATTATCAGATATTATTTAAATCGATTTTTATGTGTTTTCTTTTTAAACTAAATTTATAAACGATCGAAATTTTTTAAATTAATAATACCGGAAAATTTAAATTTTTTTTTGCGGTTAGTATTATTATTATTATAGGTTATTATTATTATTATTATTTCTATTGTATTTTATAAAATTCAATAATATACTTTTACAAAACTTATTATTATTATTATTAATATCAAAACAATTTATAAATGTAAATAATAAAATTAATATGAATAATTTTAACGACACAGGAAATATTTTCTTCTTCTTCATTATTATTATTATTAATATTAATGTTATAAAAATAATTTTATTTTTTTCTAAAAGGTTATAAAGTTATTATTTTTTTATTATAAATAAATGACCTTTTATATGATAAATTATACTAGAATATTTTTTTATTAATAAAACCATTAAGAAATATTTTTATAACGGAAAATTTTATTTATTATTATTATTATTATTATTGAGGAAAAAATAATTTTCTTGTTGCAGATACTATGGACGGCTTTATCATTAGCATTAGGCTTAGAAATTCATGGAGAAATAATAAGAGGAGTTCCATGCATAAAACGTTTTCACCAATTATTTTGTCCAACAGCTGGAAACACTTATCCAATGTTAGTAAATATATTTTCTTTTTAAACAAGATTATGAATTGCATAATGAAAGTGAATATTAATAATAATAATAATAATAATAATAATTAACGAGAGTTTTTCATTAAAATTCTTTGTTCAGAGAAAGAATAGAACAGTTTATAGATGATAACAAAGCGTTAATGAAAAGAATGTATGGAGAATTTCAAATGTCTACGGAATACGGTCCGCCAACTCAAGAAGTATTCGAAAGTAAAAGAAATGTTAAGAGGCAAACAAAAGAATCATCAAATCATCCTCCACCACCACCACCACCTTCTCCAGGAAGTTCCAGTTCAAAACCAGAATCTTATTTTGCACGACACAGATCTTCGAGACAAAGTTTTAGAAGTGGCCAAAGTGATAACGGAAGGTATTTTTTTTTGTCAAATTATTTAAATTCATCCTTCGACGCAATACCTTATTAATTCTTATCATTATTATTATGATTACGTAATTTCAGAGTAGATGCTTGCGAATCTAAAATAGAAATAGTAACGCCTTATTGGGCGTCCAACAGTGCTGGAAAAATAAGAGCCATCGTTAATACTCAACATTTCGAACAAGCCATACATCAGGAAGTTTGTTCGTGAGTATAAACGCCCAAATTAAATAAAATTAAATAAAATAATAATAATAATAATTATTATTATTATTAAAATTTTATTTTTCCAGTAAAGTTCAAACGAAACGTTGCGTTGGTGATTGTGGTTGCGAACAAAAATACAAATGGCATCGTCTCCTCGCCTACGATCCAGATAATGACTGTAAGGGAATCTTTATGGACTGGTTTTTATTTCCATCATGTTGCGTTTGTCGTTGTGCGCCTATTTTTAGAAATTAATTTTATTAAAGTGTTTGTTTCAAAACAACAACAACAACCACAACAACAAAAATTTTCTCTTTTAAGTTTCCCTTTTTTAAAAAAAAAAAAATCAATTCATGAAATATTAAAAATAAACATTAATAAAATTTTCATTGAAGAACTGATTACTATTATTATTATTATTAGTTAACGACTTATTATTGATTTTAAATAATAATAAAAAAACTTTATATATGCATACATAGAAAACATAAAATTATTATTATTATTATTATTATATTATTTTACTTTTTATTAAAATATAATATTAAAAAAAAAATTTTTAAATTATATATAAATATTGTTTGTTAGTTATAAAATTGTAAATTAGTTATTAATTTAGTTTGACTGATTGTTGAAATGATTTATTAAAACAATTATTGTAATAATAATAATAATAATTATATATCAAATCAATTTCATTTTTATTATTAAATTTATCAATTTATCAATTATTAGTTTAATTATATAAAAATAAGTACAATAAAATATAAAAAAAATTTTTTTCATAAAATAAATTTTAGTTTAAATATTATTTTTATTGATTTATTTATTAACTTTTTAATTTTATATTTTAAAAGATACAAAATCGAAATCGATAATTTATTTATTTATTTTTGGCTTCGAATGTGTGATTTTAA